GTAGGAACTCCACACCAGACAAGAGCTATTGCCTCATGCTGAAATGAAGAGCGGCTGTGGACGGACTCACCGTGGGACAGAAGTGGAAGAAGCGTCCGGTGAACCTCAGCCTGCACAGATATCCATCATAACCCATGTCTTGGACATATTAGATGGGGGGGTGAGGGAACGCGACAAGAAACAGCATCAAGACTCGGAAATTCCTTTTCAATCCACCTGCCTGGCGACTGAAGACCGTGAAACCACCCACCGTTGACCACAGTTTAAGAGTTCATCTCTACCCTTGATCCACAGTTTAAGAGTCTATCTATACTGTTTTGGTCTACAGACTCTACACCCATTAACAAGCATTTGGAACTCGCCCAGGAATCTATTAGAGAAGTCAGTCTTAGTCATATCAATACACAGTTTAATCGTCAAAATCTTGTCCAGTTCAATCTATATTGTTTTGGGCTACCCCGTTCGACAAAAAAAACAAACAAACCTAAGAATCTATTTGAGCCGTTAGTCTGAGTTAGATCAATAGGTTCAAGTTCCGTTCAACACGACACGTGGTTAACCATATTAACCACAAGAAACAGTGAGCCAATGTTCTTTTGGCCAGACTTTTTGAGTTTCTGAATTGTTTTTTTACCATTGGAATTGTCTGTGGTAACCATTTCCTAAAGTTGTCAGACCATTTCTAAAAATTTTCTGAAGATTCTGAAGATTTTCTGAACGCAAATTTTCATTTAACTTGATTTAAGTGCACTTTCTCTCACAGTTTCCCCCTGTTCTTCTTTTTTCTTCTTTCGCGTTGTTTGTTAGTATGGTGTGTTCTCTATGGACTGCTGCCAAGTTTGGTTTAAAACGGCTTTGGGTTTCTTATAAATAGCATTCAAAAACAGTGAAATTCCGGGCCTCAGTTAAAATACCAGGAGCTTTACCTGCTGGAAACCGGGTCAGCGTCCTGTAAAATACCAGGAGCAATCGTTTTACTGGGGCCATTACCCGGCTTCGGCTGCAACAGACCTTGTGAGACACTTTTCGATCAGACTACCTAGCCTCCTCAGCCCCTTCACGGGCACCTGCAAATCCCTACTACTGATCGTTCTAATTTGACGCTAGACTACAGCAGCGGGAGGGCCAATCCCCACTACTGATCATGCTAATTTGATCCGACACTACAGCACTCGGACGGCAGTTGGCTATGCACTGAGACATCCGCCTGCCGGTCATCTGCCCACCTCTCCAGGACTTGTGGGTGCAGCCAGTTAAACGGTATCCCACCTTTCTCTGTTGTCTACCAATCCTACCAGCCCCTAGGGATTAGTGGGGGTCTCAAGATCACCTCTGTTTTCTTTTTCAATAAAAGAGGAGAGAAAAGGACAAGAATGCTACTTCTGTTAAATAGAAGATGAGTCAAGCTGATGCATTAAACAGGCACAACAACACGAGAGAAACACAATCATTCCCTGAGGTAGAAACGTGATTGCACTATGAGACTCCATTCCTATGTTTAGGGTTTAGCATTGCTTAGGGTCTACGGGATAAGGGTTTAGGGTTTAAGCCTTAAGGTCTAAGGTTTAGGGTTTAGGACCATCTGTCGCATTTTTGGGAGCGGAATATCAAAAGTTGAATGAATGAGGCATCAGCATGGTTTTTATTTTATTATTATTATTATTATTATTTTATTATTATTATTATTATTATTTTATTATTATTATTATTTATTTATTTTTTCCCATAACACCCAGGCCCTTCTATTCTGGGGGGCATCAGTCCGGTTGCTCATCACCGGCAAGCCTGGAAAACGAAATAGAGTTTGGTTTAAAAGAGAAGAGGAAAGCCTTGCCCTTGCGGCCCTAGACGCCTCTCAAGGGGGGGATTGCTACAACCAAAACCCACTTCCCATACCATAGCCTTCCCAGGGACACCTCTGTTGGTCGGGAAGCTTCCTAGCAGCACCCAGCCACACAACAGACGGGTCCCCAGGGGAGGCCTGGCTCAGGGGGGCTGTTCTAGCAGTCTCACGGGCCTCTCATCGTGTTAAACCCTTCCTCAGTTTCCCCATTAAAATCCTCTGGGCACCATCTAATATTTACAGCTCTCGTCCTCATACCACCCTCCAGTCTCTACTACGCACTCCTTTATACAACCTGCCCCAAGTATCTCTTATATTCTCAAGTATCATCTACGTCTGAGCCCTATCAGCTTTGTGTTTTATATCTACCCTGCTGATATGTTTACAACCTCACCTTTGCCTTATTTGCCCGCCCTCTTCAGGGGGCAGTAGGTTTCTCTTGTCTCATCATGGAGAGACCTTGCTGAACACCTATGGCCAAAATAGAACCCTTATTCTGAGTTATACTAAAAACCTTCGCAAATGCCTGAAGCCAGGTAGGCCATCCATATTCTAATCTAGTTGAATCTACTTGAATCTTGTCCCCAGCAGTATATTCAGCAGTATATTCAGCACTCAAAAATATCCCATATCCCTTCCTCTGTCATCCCCCTTTTTTTCGATTTTTCAGTTTTAACTTGCCCTCCCATTCCCCCACTACCCCCTACCATCTACCCTCCTCTCTCTACTCCCAATTCCTCCCATTCCTTTGTAGCCTATCTACCCAATCCCCAATCTATTCTATCGACTGACTGCTGCTTGTGTCCTCCTTTTCCAATCTGGGCACATAGTGTTGCAGGGCTGGTCCAAACTGCAACTGTCCTGTAGTGGAGTCTTGCACCAGCATTTGCGGGAACGGGGCCCATCTCTGCCAAAAGTCTGCCGCCTTGGCCTCCCCTGCGCGTCTACTTCGGTGCAGATCCGCCAGTATAGCAATGCGGATATTCTCCAGTGCCCTCTCCTGATAGGCCCGAAGTGGCGGGGATGTTCCTTGCCTACATCGTTCATTTCTCAATGTCCACAGAGCCCATAGCACTGCTGCCCTTACGATCTCTTCCACCACCATTTCAGCCATGGTCCGCCTACTTGCGTTGCCCAGGGTACGCAGCAAGATATCTGTGTCGGTCGTTTCATCCACTTGTAGTGGTGTCTTGTCTGCCATTTCCTGCGCCCACCACTCCCAAAACTCCTGCACCCTTGGGCATCGAACAAAAAGGTGGGGGATCGTTTCCACCTGGCCGCAAGCTGCTGCACAAGTTTGGTCCTTATGACAACTCTTGGTAGCCTGCCACTGCGCAGTCGGGATTGCCAAATGGTAAATCTGCCATAGCAGGCCCGCCTGCTTTTGGTCTGGCAAGGCAGCCATGATGTTGCATTGTTCGTTCCACTTTCGTTGAGTCCAATTAGCAAAGCACACGTCCGGGAGCCACTCCCGTTTAACCCATCTCTCCTTCAGTTCCCCACAGATGTTCACCGGTTCCAACAGCGAGTTGTAAACAATCTTCGTGGTTACCTCTTGGAGTGGCATCAATCTCCTGTGCATCCTCTGAGGAGGCCATTCCCAGTCTCCCGGATTCCAGACAAGGGCTCTCAGCCGGGTTGCAGTGCAAAAGGGTAGGTAGTGTCCAGCCTCTTTCTTCCCTCCTTCGCATACCGCAACCGTTTCCACCAGCGCTCGTGCTATTTTTCTCACAGCGTGCAGGTCCTGCAGTGTTTTCCCCAACCCCTCCCATCCCCGTCCCGGCCTATCCTGCCATACAGTGACCTCCAGGTCCCCATTCGGCATTGCCTGCTTGACTCTATAGAGCCTTTCAGGTGCCTCACTCCCCTTAAGCTTGACCCACTGGCCCACTACCATCTCATCTTTTTTTAGTACTTCCACCCATTGAGTCAGAATAGCCTCTCTCATGTCCTTGACCCGTTGGCCCCTCTTCATGCACCCCTGCAGTGCAAGATCCATTTCCTCATCTGTACGCCAATCCTTCCGATCCTCATCCCACAAATGTCCCACCTTGAAAATGCCCTGCTCTGCCCATTTCCATCCATAGGCCCCTCACACCCCTGCCATGGGTAGGGGTCCCCTGCCTCGTCACAAATAAACCGGTTATCAAAGAGCAGCTGGTTAAAAATAGCATCCGCTGTTTCGGGGAGCCGACATCTCACCTGGATCTTCTTCCACAGGGCCAGTTTCTGAGTCCACACAGTCCCCCTACGAATATGACCCATCGCGGAGCTGCTGAGCAGGCAGAGGTCTACCAGTTCCCTAGGGACCTGGAGAGCATAAGCAAGATGAGACAGCGTCACCTCTTGCCAAGTTGCCCCCTCCGAGCGCAGCAGGGCCCAGATGAGCTGTCGCAATTGAAGTGCAATTATCTGTAAGCGCGGATCCAGCAGGCCCAGCCCTCCAAACCTTCTTGGTTGAATAAGCTTACACCAGGCAACTCTGCAKATRGAATTCTCTGACCTCGCGTTGTTTGACCACAGATGCGCTTGGACCGCCCTCCTAATRTATTGGAAGGTACGCCTCCCTGGCATATGAATTGCRCCCGCGTACCACAGGGTGGCCAGCACCGARTTCTTAATCACTATAGCCTTTCCAAAAGGCCCCATGCTCCCTCTCGCACTCCATGCTTGCAGTCTTGCCACCGCCGCTGTGGCCCGTATCGCCATCTGCTCAATTCCTCCATAGCTCGGTGTTAAATTGGCCCCCAAAAATGCCATTCGCTCTCCTTCGGCCACTGTGGGAATATCCCACCCTTCTGGAAGGTCCATCCCCAGAGGCAGAATGTCCCTAGACTTCTGCCAATTCACCCGTGCGCATGAGTACCGACAGAAGGTTGCCAGGTCCGCTTTGAGAATGCCCAGCTGCTGAGTCGTTGGAACGAGTGCTGCGCCCGTGTCGTCCGCAAAAGCTGTAGATTGTAGTTCCGCTCTTGGTCCCGCCTTGAGACTGATAAGGCGGCTGTCGGCCCGCAATATCTCGTGCATTGACTCAATGTAGATGACATAGAGGGCAGGAGAGAGCGGGCAACCCTGCCTCACCGACCGAGTCACCCGCAACCTGTCCGATCTCACCCCGTTGACTTGCATCACAGTCGAGGCTTCCTTTAGGAGGCCACGAATCCAACTGCACAGGATAGGCCCAACTCCCCTTCATGCCATACTTTGCAGTAAAAATTCCCATCTGACCCGGTCGTAAGCCTTCTCAAGATCTATTGACAAAAAGGCCAGTGCCTGACCTGTGCATTGCTCCTCCTCCAGTATCTGCTGTGCTAATAAAATTTTCGACAAGATCTGACGACCCGCCACAAACCCAGTCTGAGTGGAGTCGATGATACTTGGTAGGACTTCCTTCAACCGATTTGCCAAAACTTTGGCAAGTATTTTATATAGCGCATTCAGGATGGAGATCGGGCGCCAGTTCCGCACGTCCTCCTTGGCTCCTTTTTTGAAGAGTAAAACCACATACGCATCCGCAAAGCCTTGAGGAAGGGTGCCTCCCTTCACAGCCTCGTTGTAGGCTGCTGTCAGCAGAACTCCGAAGAAATTACGGAGTTCCTTATAGAGTTCCACCGGCATTCCATCCAAGCCAGGCGTTTTGAGCCTAGGGAGCTCTGCAATCGCTCTTACCACTTCCTCTTCCGTGATGTCCTCTTCCAACTTACAAGTTTCCGCAAGATTGAGACGGCTCTGGACGTGGCTCCAAATATCCTGCTCTGGTTCGCCGGCCATCTCCTCAGGAGTCCATTGCTCCTCCTCCGTGAGCAGTTGGCGATAAAAATCGGTAACACACTCATTGCTCCTCCTCCGTGAGAAGTTGGCGATAGAAATCGGTAACACACTTCAAAATTCCCCGAGTAGTACGCTGTTGCCCCATCTGGCCGTCAAAGGGGTGATCCATGGCTGTCATTATTGGTGCTGCCTTTTTCGTTGCCACTGTAGCAAAGAACTGTCGTGACATTCGTTCCCCCAATGTGATCCATGTCTCCTTGGTGCGTCTACCCCATTTAACAGCTTCCTCTGCCTGCCACTCCCTCCATCCTCGTGCTACTTCCACTCTTTCTGCCCACCATTCTTCCTCCATCTGGCCCTCCTCAGGGCCTTTGTCCAGTTCCTCCATCCTTTGGGCGTACTCCTCCCCTGTCTTCTTGTGCGCCAGGTAGTTTCCCCGAACAGCTTCTGCAAGATGTGCCGCAATCTCTGCACTGCTGTTATAACTTGTGGCAGGAGCTGTTCCTGAATGCAGTCTTCGGCCCAGTCCTCCCAAAACTTAACAATGACAGGGCCATACTCCGGGCTTTTGAAAACCCATGCTGGAATCGCTTTGGGCGGGCGGCCTACCTCCAGGCGACCCACCGGGAATGTCGCAATTACTGCAGAGTGGTCCGACGTAGCCATCGGTACAATACGCACTTGCTCCACAGTTTCGTTCAGCTCCCCCGACGCCCATATCATGTCGATGCGACTCCTTCGGGTAACAGTGTTTCCCCAGAAAGTAGAGGCCCTCTCCTGCGGGTGCAATGTTCTATACGAATCTGTACATCCCAGGCTTGTCATACCGTTGACCAGGGCCATAGAGTCTACCTCCCCCTGCCGTATAGTTGCTGCATCTCGTTCCGGATCTACGAGCGAGTTAAAATCCCCTGCTATTATGAGATTGTCAATGTCCGGAACTAAAGTTTGCAGGCGCTCCCACATCCTGCACCTTGTGCCCAATTCTGACGGTCCGTAGATGGTAACTACCCCCCATGTCGTTTCCCCCCACTTAAGCACCACCCAGGCCCACCTTCCCCTAGAATCGTAAAACCAGTCCGTAACATCTCCTCTAAAATGCGGGGAGATGAGAATACAGACCCCTCCCTTAGTACCCTGCGCCGGGGCCCAAATCTGGTGGCCTTTCCACCATAGCACCGGCTCTGCCGTTCGAGCTTCATTCAGCTTAGTCTCTTGTAGACACACTACATCGATCTGCTCCTCTTTCACTTTCCTCGCCAACTCCCTTCTCTTGGGCAGTAGTGATTGGGCCCCCAGGCCTCTCACGTTCCAAGTCAGCAGTTTCAGCCTATTGCAGTTTCTCTGCACTTGCATCCCCTACCTCTAACCTTACCCCTAGTGCATCCCTTACTACGTAAAGGTGGTACCTTCCTCTATTTATTGCTGGGGGGGGTGTCCTCATCCTTGCGACACCCATTCAAGATAAGTATATAGTATAGTACCTACCCTACCCTACTCTACCCTCTCACACCCCCCATTCCCAAATACCAGTTCCATTCTGGAACTGCACCCCCCCCACATGTTCCATCAGTGGCAAGCACGCATTAACGCTGTTGAGCAGAGCCAGGGATGTTGTATGAACCAGGTGGTAGTCCTGCGAGAGGGCCGCAGGGCCATAGGCTTCGGCGAACCGTATCCAGTGCATGCCTGCCGATCCTAGCCTCGGAACTCCCGGTCACTTAGGGATGGCTTCCACAAAGAAGACAAAGATGACATACTCATCCCCCCCCGCAGTCTCCCTCACAAATCGTAGTGCTGATATCTGAGGCATCGTCACCACTTCGTATCTTGGTCCCAACCACTCAGCCACCTTCTTGAGCACCTGCTGTTCCCGAGGTGGGCGGGCCACTCCAAAAGTTGGTACGTCCGTTGCCCCCTCCAGGAGCAGCCTTATTTCCTCCGGCGCCTGCCATAGGACAATCGGGCAGACATAGCCCTCTCCCGCCCTAAGTATGTCAGGCAACCTGGCCCCCACGCGCTCCTGCCGTGCCAGGCCTTCCAGCTGACTCTCAGGCTGCTGGCGCTGCTGACTCTCCTGCTCCTGCGTACTTCGGTTCTCAGCACTTGCCACCTCCGCTGGTGTAGCCCCCTCTTCCGACCCCTGCCCCTGCGAAGTATGATGTTCTTCTTCTACTGATCGCTCCTGTTGCTGCTGGCTTGCAGACCCCTGAGCCCCTCCCTCTGCTGAACAGTCCTGCTGCTGCTGGTTTGCAGACCGATGAACAGACTGTTGGTCATCCTCCGAGCTATCCGATGTCTCTGTAGTAGAGGATTCCAACGAGTTGTCATCTTCTTGGCAGCTTGACTGATCGCCCACCCCCTCAGCCGGAAGGCCAAAGCTCGGTTCCTTGAGGGGGACCGATCCCGAAGGCGGTGGCGACTCGTTTCTTTTCCCCTTCCCTCGCAGCGAATACCTTGGTTCATATCCCTTGGTTCCCAAGGGGGATTGATGCCTCTCTCTTGTACACTTCGGCCTTGTTTGTGAGGTTTGCGATGAAGCCTGCCGTCCCGAGGTCTCCTGGCCCATAGTTTTCCCTTGCGTCGATGCCACCCTGTCGGAGGAGAAGGTCGGTACCGGAAAGCATTCCGCTGATGAGGATTTCTTCTCTGGTCCTGAGGTCACTTGCTTGCGCCTTCGCCCGTATTTTATCGGTGAGTGGGGGACCTGATCAGCTATGATTGGTGTTTCGTACACTGGCCTGGCCGGTTGCTGCTGCGTGCCCGACTCCCCCACGCTGCCCTGTTCCCCTCGCCTTTCAACCTGCTCCTGCCCTTGTCCTTCCTGCCTTACCTGCGTAGATGTTTCGTACATCGGCCTGCCCGGTTGCTGCTGCGCGCCCGACTCCCCCCCACTGTCCTGTTCCCCTCGCCTTTCAGCCTGCCCCTGCCCTTGTCCGTCCTGCCTTACCTGCCTATCGTGTGCGCCCAGCTTCCCCACGCTGTCCTGTTTCCCTCGCCTTTCAACCTGCTACTGCCCTTGTCCTTCCTGCCTTACCTGCCTATCGTCCGCCTGCGCTTCTTTCCTTCTCTCGTTTTGTCCCCCTTGGCCCTCGGACAACCCAGCCCTCCCCCCTCCTTCTCCCCCATCAGCGTTCTTCTCGGACGAAGCAGCTCGGTTCCCCTGCTGCCCTTGCGTTCCCTGAGTAATCGTTCCCTCCTGTCCTTCTTTCTGCCGGCTGGTCTCTCCCCTTTCTTCGGCCCCCCGAGTCCCTTCTGAAGACTGTGTCTGCCCGCCCTCCCCGACCTCCTTACCTGGCTTTGCTGACGAAGCCTCAGCGTCCCTCTCTCTTTGGTCCCCTCCTGTCCCTTGTTCTTGTCGTGAACTTCCCGTTTTGGAGCCTTTCTCTTGTTCCGGCCCCTGCTCCGCCTTCCTTTTCCGGTCTTCTCCAAAAAGCCAGTGCGGGTCGTCAGTCTGCATGGGGTCATCTCCCCTCCCCTCCCACAGTACATTCCGGCAGTATCTTCCTCTTCCCTTAGCCGGCTTCCTCCGCCTTTCTTCGTGACAGGCCTGGCTTGCGGCCTCCTTCCGCGTCTGCGCTGCAATTCTGGCTTCCTTCAGCAGGGCGTCGTCCACCTGGAGCTCCAGCTCATGCCAGGCCCTCCTTTCTTCTTGAGGATTCGACTGCAAGATCGGGTCCATAATACTTCTCATCTCCCTTTCGTGCATCTCCTGCAGTGTCTCAGCCGGCGTCAAGCATCTTCCATGGAGCCCCATGTGGCCATGTGTGAAGCACACCTCACAAAAGGGTGTCTCACTCGTTACTACTCTCACCTCTTCAAAGCTATAAGGGCCGATAGCCACCGCGACGCTGCTCTTCAGCGGGTTCCTCATCGGGCCATCCAGCACATACTTAACGTACTCTCTTTGCTCATCGTCCAGCCGCTGTTCACTAACTATTGGACCAAAGAAGTGCTCGACTGCCCCTCTCATCCATTTCGCTGCCAGTAATGAGGATTTGAAGACTTTCACCCATGGCCATCTTTTGCGCTCACGCATTCTGTCTGCGTTCATTTCCGCTGGCAGCTTCCATGGTTGATATGTCACTTGGCCATGCACTTCTGCCACATGCACCTCGTCCCTCATTCTTTCTTCGATGAGCCAGTTCCTCAACTCAACCGTCGGCGCTAAGTACGCGACAGTCAACTCCCCCTCTGTATCAATCTCACTCGCCACTGGCCTCTTCCCAGCATCCATGCCTCCTCCATATGGCCAACCCAATCCCGCTTGGCCCTCCGTGACCAGCCTGCTGTTCCTTCCGGCATCTTACACGCCACTGTGTGCGCCCGCACGTAGGTGTTTTGCAAGTACATAATCTCGTTCGTCGGCCGCGCCAAACATACTCCTCCCTGTATTGCGTATTCAATCAGCCCTGGCCCTTCCATTGGTTGGCGCAGCAAATACGAGCGCCTCAGCACCTGCATGAGGCGCCATCGTTCTTGTGCCATCCCTTCCATTCTCTCCCCCTGAAGCTTTTCCCGTCACTTGTATCTAACAATCCCACCGTAAGCCCCTGATATTGTGTCTCGATCCGCCTCCCCCTTCCCCCAACGTTCACCCACTAATCGCTTGTCTTCTCCCTAAAGCGTCTCCCACCGCTTGGATCTACCTTCGCCAACTTATCTTCGTGTCTAATTTCCTGAGAAGGATTCACAAATCAACCACTAACTGACGTCCTTCCCCACGCTTGCCGGCAACAGCTTATGCCGAGCGCTGTCAAGGACCTCCTCGCCTTTTCGCCAGGTCAGCCAGACTCCTCCGGACTCGTAAGCAAAATCGCATAGTTAAAATGAGCCGGTTGGTACATCAGGAAGAGCTCCTAATCTCCCCCCGTGTGGTCTCGTCTCCTTCCCAACACGCCCCCTCAGCCACTTCTCAGCTTAGCAGAGACATCACCTTCTACCCCCTACCCTCCCCACCTTCTCTTTGACCTCAGTCGCTATCGCCTCAGTCGGCCTAAGCGGCGGCAGTCTGAACGCCGTCTTCATGCGACGTCGGCCTAAGTGGCGGCAGTCTGAACGCCGTCTTCACGCGACATCGTCCAGCCCTTGTTCCATCATCCGTCACGCCGGCCCCATCCCCGCCTTCGAGCCGCCCCACCAGGTCTATCCTATCCCCGGCTAGTCAACGTCCGTCCTTCCCTCGTCAGACAAAATCTGTCCCCACCGTCGTCGCCCGACGTCGGTCTGCCCGTCGACATCAGTCAGCCCTCCTCCATCGCCCCGCAAGCAAGCCCCACCCCCACCGTCGTCGCCGTCCCGCCAAGTCAGCTTGGTCAAAGAGAATCATTCACGCGGCGTTTCACCGCGCGAAAAAAAGAAAACCTAAGAAATCTACCCGCGATTCACCACGCACGCCGGTGTGTGAGTTTTTTATCCGTTCTTTTTTTTTTTTTGAAAGAAACAGGATGACACGCATAAATCGAGCAATGGTCCAAATTTTTTGAAAAAAAAAAAAAAAGAAACAGGGCCTTATGGTCCTGGCTCCTTTCCATTCTGGGGAGCGACAGTCCGGTTCCTATTCCACCAGCAAGTCAGGATAGACGTTACAATAAACATAAACCACCCACTCGTTCCTTCCGTCTGGCCGAAGGACCCCTGATCAGCTTTGATTGCTCCATCTTGATGGAAGATTGACTGTCAGCTTGCCGTGCCTCACTCTTTCCTCTCAGATCATCCGGAAACCCTTGTCCGAGCTTCCCCAACCCTTTTTTTTTTTTTTTCATAATAAAAGATACATCATAAATACTCACTCACGCTTCCTTCCGTCTGGCGGAAGGACCCCTGACCAACATTGATTGCTCCACCATCGTGGAGGATTAACTGTCAGCTTGCCCTGCGTCATCCTTTCCTCTCAGGTGAAATGCTATAACCTGTCATGTAAAACATTAACTAACAAGAAAGGTCATATCAGGTAGTAACGCCGCCTGTTTTGTCTAAACTGTAAGCCCCCTAAATGAAGCACATCAAAATTTTGCTGTTCTGAACCCTATTTGCCCCTTTTTCGTTTCCCTTTCATCTCCTCCTTGGCTGGCCTCACTTTAATTCTTATGGCAGCTGAAGTTCCTGTGTCAACCGCTGATCATCTATAGTGTCATCCTGGTGCTCCTCTTTGAACCAATGGAAGGTAAATATTTCTCCTTCAACGGTCGCGACTTTGCCTTGGGCTAATACCCTCTTATGGAATTTGGAGAAAGTATCCTTTGCCAGAAATTTGCCTTTTCTGGGTTAAGCGCCAGTTGCCTCTTTGTTCTTCTCCATGACGCCCTAATGTCTGTCTCCAATAGAGAATTGCCTTGGCTTCCCCTCTGGTCATCAGATTCTTACCCACAACCTGCTGACATCTTCGTTTCCAGATTGTCCATAGCATGTACTGTCTCAGAAGTTGAAAGATATATTTATGGCCTGCCCGCCATCCCTTAGGCACCACACTTCCTA